GGGAGAGCTTGCTTTTTAAGTTTCGTAAGCTTGATGGCCTCGTTGAAGGCCTGCTTGCGTGAAGGCGTACTTTTGATGTATCGCACACTCTCTCTGATTTTAGTGATGCCTTCAGAAATGATCTTAAGTCCATCCTTGACAATCAGGTTGACTATGTGAGCCGCGCACCGAACATGAAAAAATTTACCATCCAATTCGAGTGCGTTTTGGGATCGATCGATAAGGATTGATTTTAAGTGAGAGACCGCGACATCGTTGGAGCTTGCGTTGTCGACCGTTATAAAGGCAACCTTGTCGATAACTTTCCATTCACCAATTGTGGTGATGAGTTGCTTTCCAATCGCAATCCCCGTGTGAGGCGTTGGAAGTTCTTTGAATCCAATTAAACGCTTTCGGAGGGTCCAGTTGGGCAAGATATAGTGAGCTGAGATGACCATAAAGGGGGTTTGATTAGATGAGGTCCAAAGGTCGGTCGTTAATGCGATTCGATCTACCTGGCTGATCTCGCGAGCAAGATCGCCCTTCATTGAATTGAAAAGTTGCATCACGTCGGAACGGAGGGTTGTGCGGGAAAAAATCTTGAATTTGGGCTGAAGCGATGCCAAAAATTTTCGAAAGAGCGGATTGTCGACCAGCTTGAAAGGTTGCTCCTCGGCTATTATCATTTTCGTCAATAGCTTGCGAGATTCATCCTGAGAATAGACCCACGTCGCAGTTGATGCACCTGTGGTCTTGAGCAAGCTTTGCTTGTTTTTATTTTTGAAATCACTGCATCGCTCGAGATGTCGCCAGAGGTGATTGGTACCGCTTTTACTCTTACCGCTCAAGACGGTTTTGCAGCTGGAACAGGTTGCGGTCAGATTATCACCTTTGAATGAGACATGAGTGATGGATCAGTGACTAGAGTATAAAGCAACATATTTTAAAAAAAAGTAAGTTCACTCACCTGATCCCTGCTCCTTGAAATAAAGCCAAACCTCGCTTGTTGTTTTCCTCTTCTTCGATGTTGGTTCAGTGCTCGCCTCCGAATCTTGGTCTTTCAGTTGTGAATTCTTGATAGATTGAGCGCGGTTCCGAGGGGTTGGAGTTGGGGCAGTAGAAGGCGGATCTTGTGATATCTCGACATCTGATTCGGAATCCGATTCCGAATCGGAATTTCTGCTGGATCGACCGCTGGTAGTGGTAGCTGCCTTGGTTGTACTTGATGCAATGGCGGCTGGATGATGAGGTCGCTTCCTTCCTCTAGGCATCTTGAAGGATGGCCGTTGGTGTCAGATTGGAGGATCGGACCGGTGGAGTTGGAGGAAATGGATATCCACTGATTCAGGAACCGGAGTGAGACTGTGAGACTACTGGGATATCAGATATCCTCATGCCCCCTACGGGGGTCTGGACTCCTGGTAGTATATGGTCGGGTCAGTGGGCATAATGCGGGCCGACCCGAGCACAAGCTGGGCTGTCCAAACCCGCCCCACTGACCCGTCGGGTTATTCTCGGGCCGGGTTGCTTTTCACCCAGTACATGTCCAAACCCGCCCCATGACCCGCCGGGTCGCGGGTACCCGACGGGTCGACCCGACCCACTTGCATCCTGACCCCCCCCCCCCCCTCAGAACAACTCCCGCAGTCCGGGGGGCAACTCGCTTGTGTTCCGCAGGCCGTAACCCCATGTCACAGATGTTGCGGGTCAGTTCCAATAATGGACTGGCAGTGCCCCAGCCGTGCAGCTACCAACTTGCCCAACTGATCAACCGACCCACATACCCTTCCAACACACCACATCGATGGAAAGATCTTCTCCGATCAATGGACAACAACGACAGCATCCTTTCCTCCCTCCAAACAACACTTTATCCTTCTCTTCTCACTCACATTTTTTCTGCTTTTCACTCATGTTTTGTTTTTAGCTTTTTGTATGTTTCTCTCACTTCTTATGTTTTGTTTCTAGGTTTTTTTATTCTCTTTCTCTTTTAGTGGAGATCAATTGCAATTACAATTTTGGTGAGGTGAGAAGCAATAACAAAAAGAGTGAGAAGCAGTAATAAAAAGAGATGGTCTTGATAAGAAGGGAAACAAGCCGGTTTGGGGGTTGCATCATTGGTCGGCTTGTTTTGTGATGCATTGTTGGTTGGTTGGTTTGGGGGGTTGATTTTGATTTTTGGTTGTTTTTCTTTTTCTTTGGGGAACTGGGTGTTTGGGTGGGTGTGTATTTGGAAGATGGTGGATCGGTGTCAGTCATCATTTTGGGGTGTTTGGTGTTGTATGTAGTGTTGTGGGTGGACGATATGGGAATTGCGGCTGGGAGGTGACTGGCAGAAGTCAGCAGCCAATTGCGGGTTTGAGTGCCCCCGGCAGTATTCCCAGGGTTGTACAGCAGTTCACAGAAAGCTTGCTGTTGCGAGCCCCTGGGATCCAGTTTTTTTTTTTGTGCCACACTTTTTCTTTTATTTTTTGTCCTGTATGTGGGCTCATACAGCCACAGTATTCTAGGCATTATGGCCCAACTCCCACATTATTCAAGTTGAAGATTTGGGAGTTGGACCATCAGAATCCTGGCAGTTTTTTGAGCCGGGAATGGTCATCACATTGGCGCTTCACCTCCCCTTGCCAGGCAACAGCCGAGTGCCCGGAGCCCAATCAAGGCCTTGGCAGCCAATTTGCAACCTGTACAGTCATGTGTACAGGCTCCAAGGCGCAAAAAATTGTGGCAAAAAAAAATGGGACCCCAGGAGCTCGCGAACACAAGCTTTCTGGGAACTGCTGTACCGCATGTCAGCGCCGGTCTCTTGTGTGACCTGGCGTTGATGGGGTGAAGTTCACACTATAACTGCTAGTGTTAAGTAGCAGCCAGTGGAAAAGAAACCTCGCCTTGACACTAGAAAGCGGAGGGGTTAAGCTCCCTGAAAATGTAGGGGACGCGTGCGGTAAGGTCTTCGCAGTGCCGGGCTTTAGAGGAATGAGCAACTCTCTTCTAGGCTACAGTATTGGCTTTACTGTAGTCTAGGGATAAAATAAAGTGGATAGTAATAAAGGGGAAGGGAGTAATAGTTTTGATAGATTAATAATAACCCCACTCACAATTGGATGTAAGGTAAACGGGTTGTATGGTAATAATCTCTGGGGGGAGGATTCTTGGGAAGAAGACCTCCCCCTTAAGTATTAAAAAGGCAGGGGTCAACCTGCCTGTGAGACCGGTGAGGCCTGCAGAGGATCATTTATGTATATAATCATAAATGATCAAAATATGTATTTAAATTAAGATTTAAACCAGAAGTGGAGGAAATGATGTCATTCAAGCTCAAAGGAGAAAGAATGATGTCATCTCTCTAATTACAGTGTATAGAGAGATGATTAAGCTTTCAGACTATATGTATATAAGATATGAATATTAATACAGAGGTAAATACTTAAGTAATTCCGTGGAATTACTTAAAGCATAAAAGTATAAAAATAAAATAATAAAAATATAAGATTACATAATTGGGATTTTTTGAACCCAAGTGTGTTGGTGAGGCAAAGTAATAACACAGTCCTTAACCAATACACTACAGTACATGTGCTTGTTGGTTAAGTACAGGTTGTAGACACATGGGCTACAGCCTCAGTGTCTGACACCGCAGGACCGTTGGAGAGCAAAATGGACTCCCAGGCTGTAAAAGTTTGCCCCCGGATGCCCGATCACGGCTCCGTTGGAGTTGCTCTCAGCAGGAGGGTAGGCACGAAACATGTATGAATGGCTTTCAGAAATGTAGGAATTTTGGCAAAATCTTGGATTTTTGGTTAGGCACCTCTATAGGGGGTTGCCTGGGTCCTGATGATCACATGTTTGGGAAAGCAAAAGATGCACAAGATCATGGAGTCAAATCATCAATCTATATTTTTCTTAATTTTTTAGGCCCTTGTTAATCGGGTGGCATTCCACTTGTCTTGTTTTTTTTTTGTGACTACAAGTCTCCTGCATCACACATTTTCCACTATACAGTATCCAAAATCAAAAACCATCATTATTAATCAAGCCTAAGGAGATGTGATTACTACCAAACCATTAGCAAAGTTAGTACATACATAGATGGACACAGCCTGAAAGATCCCCGGCAATGTGAAAACGCAACAGAGCCCCTCCCCAGCTCACCCCAATCCCTCCGAGTCCGACCCCCAGTTCCGGCCAAAGCAAGAATTATTAAAGCGCCCTTGACTTTTTCTGTTCGTTTAATTCAACTGCAACATGACCAGCCTATCCATCCGATTCCCTTCCACTGCATCCATGCCCATCCCACATCATCTCCCACTAATCCTCTTTGCCCCGACTGAAACAAGGCATCAAAGATGATGCTGTGGAGCAAAGAGAGGGTGTATTGTGCCCAATGGGCTTTAGGTATAGGTTGGAGTCATTGGCAGGTCAGGGGGGGGGAGAGGTTGGTTTGTATGCATTGTAAGGCAAAAGGGTTCCCTGAGGCCTCACTTTTGTGATTGTTTGTTCAGGATGATCATGAGGTGGAACTAATCACTTGAAATTGAGGAGTATACCCCTATGTGACTATATGAACTGAATTCAAGGTGCAATCCTTCAGGGCGAAGGTAAGGATTGTTATTGAGAGTGATAAGGATAAACAAATTCAAAATAATCAAAGTCTTCAAACCGGGTGTGGGCGGCAAAGCCGCCCTCAAACCCTAGTTTACAGACCTCCTCACCACTCGCACAAACCCATACAAGAATCCAGAGAGTAGATACTTCTATGATATATATATATATATATGTAGTTCGGCTTGGATTCAACTTCACGGATGGATCAACAGTATCAAGTTAGCTTTGAACTCGTTCAGGACTTCGTTCAACGCCTTTCGAGATAACCCACACCTGTGAGACGATTTCTTCGAGAGCGTATCGACCATTGAAGTATCTAAAAGCACCTGCGGATTTCTTTTTCGAAGATTGAGTTTGGGGGTATGAGTAAGTACTCAGAGTCTAACTTGGATGAGCAGAAGATGGCATTATACTTTTCAAAGAAAAATAAGAAGGATAAGATAAGATAAGATCAACAAGAGGGAAGGGAAGAGACTCAACGAGTTGAAAGCGCGAATCTGAGCGTCAGTTTTATCAGCGCAAATCTCGTCCAACCATTTCTGTTCGATGGCGGTAGCTTGACCGGGATGACCGATGATGCTATCGGCGAGGAGGTCGACCTTATGGGGGAGAAGGATGAGGCCAGTGGGCGCCGTCCCATCGGAGCCGATCTCGCGGGGATGAGATTCGCTGAGGGTTGAGAAGTCCGACTGGACGGATTGTTGCCGGAGTCGACGACGATCCTCCCGACCGAACTCGTCCGAGCTCGTGATCGAGCTCAATGAGCTCGGCTGGACCGACTGGATCAACCGGGAATTTCGGCTCTGGCCATCCGACACCGAACTGAGATTGCGTGTGGTCGATGGTCGCTCGGATAACATTCCTTCCTGTGGTACACTCTGCATGGTCACCGACTCCGGCCGGTTCACATCAGAACTCATCTGCTTAGACGCCGATCCTGAGAGCGACTGGTAGCGACTATCAGTCGGTAGAGAGGTGGAGACCTGCGGGGTGGTCTGGGGATTGCTTGGATGGGCTCGATTGCGCGTCGTCTGAGAACCGGGAGAAAGCGAGCTTTGCTCGTCAATCTCCTCATTGTAATCCTCGCTCCCCTTCTGTTGCTTTTGCTCTTGCTCCCAAAGGGCGACATTCATCTTAGTTTGTCGGTCGATCTTGATCCGCACGTGTGTCCGCTCCCTCAGCAGCAAGTCCCGCTTCAATAACCACACCAGTACGGCCATCGACTCTGATTTTTCTAGGTTCGGGGCCAGGTGGGGTAGGATGCTCGAAAAGGGCTGCCGGGAGCGTTGGCTAATCGATGAGAGGATCATCACCAGGTGAGGTAGGTTTGGAAACGTCGCCGAAAATTCCTGCTGGAGCTCCGAGATCGGTAGTCGATCGGGAGAAATGGCCGATGGCTCAGTTTGCGCCGGACAGGTTAGCTGATACGAATTCCGCAGGGTAATCATGTCCGTCAACTTGGCCTTCCTCCAATACAGTAAATGATCCGTCATCTCCGCGATCGTGTTGGAATCAGTGTCCAGCAAGAACTTATACTCAGAAAGCCTGTTGTGCAGATCATCAGGGATGTAGAGAGAGAGAGAGAGAGAGAGAATTGTAAATCAATTGGTTCGTCCCAGGCGACATGTCAATATACGTACGTCAAGGCGGGCTTGATGATGGCGATAAAGTCGCGAAGGAGACTTCCAGGTGCAGTTTGTTCGATCAAGACTTGGGGATCTTCGAGCAGCAACAGACTCTTCCAAGATTCCAAATGAGCGAACCGATCCTGATCGCCGGTTTCGGGCGAGGGAGTTTTGACGCTATTGGCCAACAACCAATTCTCAGGGACCGAATTGCTATCCAATAACTCGCGATGAAGAAGGAGGTCGAGGTCGAGCTGATGGTCGAGGGTGATACTCGTACTGCCGAGCGTCTTGAGGTCCTCAAAGATTCGTGCCAGAGCCCGGGTAAGATCCGAACTCTGCTCGACAAACTCCATGCAATCTTCGATCTCAGGCTGCTTTTTTTGGCTAGCACTCCGGCTTGAATATGAGCTTCTTCGTTCGGATAGTTTGCGCATGATCAGTTGGACTTCCCTGGTGAGGTAGGAGCTCTCACGTTCTAAATGCTTCAGGGCTGCTGTCAGCTTCAGCACCACATCCCTGTAGTAAACTTCGAGGTGTTGTGAAAGATGAGAGGCAGGTGGGGTATCGATTATCAAGGCAAGGGTGAATGACTGCAGTGGTACCAACTGAGTAGATCGAGCTGGTGGGATCACATTGGCTTGCTGTGTCTCATCAACCGTCACCGTAGGAGCCGTCGTCAGGAAGCCACACATGGGTGAATACGGGATGGGATTGTAGCGATCTCGGATATTAAATCGGGCCGGCAGAGTCACGGGCGATGGACTGGAACTGCTTCGAGTTGAGGATCGGGGGTGTAAGAAGACCCGGGTCTTGGTGGAAGAGGCGGAGGAGGTGTCGAGCGGGGTGATCGAAGGAGTCATCATCCTCGTTAACTGGGATATAGGCGCCGGGAGGGGCGGCTTGCAGGGAGAGGAGGAGGAGTTTGGGAGGGTGGCGGGTGGATCGTTGAGGTCGAGTGTACTGAGAACCAGGCCGTCGTTGGTTGAGATAGTTGGGTCGGAGGAGGAGGAGGAGGAGGGGAGGGGAGCAGAAGTTTGATTGGGAAGGGTTGGATTCAAGAAGGGGGACTGGGAGCTCGATGATTTCTTGGGAGAATCCGGCGGGGAGCTCGTCACGTCCTTTTCACCTGACCTGGTTCTCGTCCGACCTCTCTCCATCGAGCGCTCGGGATTGGTGTGACTAGTGGTAGGTTTTTGGTTGACGAGGACGGGGTGTCCGATGATGGCCAAGGCGTCGATGACCAATTCCAGCTTCCGCCCGCTCACCATCCCCTTGGGAGTATTGAAGGAGAGGTGTTGAGAGCCATGGATTCTTGGGGTCAACATATCGGCCCATTCGTCAGGACCGAAGCCGAGATAGCTCGACCTTCCCCTGGGTAGTGAAGAGGATGGTTTTGTAGATTTTTTGGCACTGAGTCTGACCGAGTCAGAATGGTGGCTATCGTAAAGCAGGCCAGGGAACAGTGGGTTTTCGTCCTCGTCATCGAAGTCGCTGGGTTCATGTCTGCTAGGTATGGGTAGGCCTGCCGAGCTGGAGCTGAGGACCCTTCTGGAGGTGGGTTGCTTGAAGGCTCTGGATGAGGTTTCGTCTGAGGAGCTCTCGCCATAATGGCCGTCCCAGAGATCGGATTCTTGGAAGGCCCGGACGAAGCGATTCCCATGATGATCGCGATCATCGGCGGAGTGAGTCCCATGGGCGTGTTTCTTGCCCGAGTAGAGGCTCGGATCGCTTCCACAGATCCGGGATTGTTCTTGCTTGTAAACCGGTCGATCTAGTCTCGGCGTCGGTTGGGGTCGGGGAGGCCATGCAAAAGCAAGAGAAGGGGAGGACTGGTCGGCCTGGGTGACCAGCATGACTGCCAACAAACTGCTCATGATTGATGTATGTATGGCTGATAAGCACCTGGTCTAATCCATCGCAATAGTCAAACTCCTTTACGAACGCGAGCAGTTCACTGAAAAAAAAATGGCAAAAGATCAAACAGTCGTCAGTCTCATGACAGAATACTTGGTGAGAGCATCTGAGGATGGGTGATTGCCTGGGTAAATACATACATACTCGGTCAAGAGCAGACGGAGACGATGATCTCCTTCGTTCCATTGGGTGAACAACGTCGATGTTTGGTTGGTGGTTCGTGGCTGGCGGAGTTCTGGCTGGTTCACACGCAACACCCCATCGACTCACCGCAGCTGTCGGATCGGCTGCACAATCGGTCAACTGCATACACCCTCGGCGTGGTCATGAACCTCAACGAGTGCACAAAAAAATCAAGTAAAACTGGAATTTAAGGTTTGAGAAGGAGACAGGGAAGTGTAACTGAGAATACTTCAGCCACTGCGATAACCTTTGCAGCAAACATGACCCCATCAACAGTTTCCTTTATGTACAAGTGCAGTCGAGAACCACTTTCATGTCCCGATTTCTTCGGTCATTGTAAAATTTAATATTTCGTGTACACACCGGATCGGGTCCGCCGCCTCGGGTGCAGCTAACGAGGCGCCCTCGTGACCCTGCAAGCGCCTCGCGCGATCCGGGCGTCCAAACGGAACCCGTCATAGTTGCGTGTTGCTGGGCCGCGATTTGGTCGTCTCACCCGGTATGGGTGCGTCTCAGTTATCGCCCACGGAGTCGGAGGACCGCCGCCATCAAAGGCCGGGCGTCATGATGGCGCACCGGCCCTATGGCTCGACAGGTCACACAGCCAGGTTGGGGAGAGCCAAAAAGCTGGTCAATGCCGGGCTCGAACCCGACATTATCTCACACCGCCGAAACCCAAGGGAGCCCACGCCAAACTCATGGGATAGAACACCGATGGAGGAGAGGCAGGATCATGGGTATCTGACTCGCCCCCCAGCCACTTATTCATCCGACTTCGAAAAAAATCTTCCCAAGTCAAGTCAAAAAAAAAAAAAAAAAAAAAAAAGAGATCGATTATTTTCTCGAACACCCACCTAAAAAGACATCTTTCCAGGTGGGTGTTGGGAAAGGAAAAAGGTTGACCGATCGAGCGACCAGTGCCGCCTATCGGCGGACTGATGGCGAGCCCGGTCTCGAGTCAGCATAGCGACCCCGGGCGGTTACAATTGCATGTTGCAGTCCGTCTCGGGTGCTGGTATGGCCTGGGTGCGTTGCACCAGGACGGCCTGGGGCGAACCCAGGTCATTACGACCCCAGCTTGCACCCAACGCGTAACTGTTGCATACACTTGGCCGGCAACGCCCCCAGAGGGTGTACAGGCCGCTGCAATCACGCACCCGCCGGTTGCGCAACTAATTTACTGTATTGCGGCATGGGGTCGCCTGTAGTGCTGGTGCGCCTCGCGGGCGAACCAACTTATTCCGATTCGTCCGGGTGTGTAGGGGTTCACCTCTCTCAACTACTACATACACAGCGGGCTCACTTTTTTGATTCCGTGACGTTGGATTTGTCGTTATGGTGGAGATCACATCAGATCCAGCCTTTGCGACGTTAACAACCACATCAGTGTTGTATCCACATAGCCAACAGCATCGAAAACGACGCTTGCGATGCAAGTGTGATGAACACGTGTACACCAATGTCAAAAACAACAACACCGGCTCTCCTGTCAGCAAGCAAGCCCATTGCTTATGATGTCGCAGTGGGAATCACATTGGATCCAATGATCCGATCTGATCCGCTGCTCATCACATCTTGACCAGGGCGGCACAGATCGGTTCTTCTGCCCGACTCCCTGCTATAACGTCGTAAACGACGTCAAATTTTTTTATTTTTCAAGACAGCACAAATATGTCTCAAATGGGTTTTTTTACCCTGAAAATTCGAGAAAATTGATTATTGAAAAAAAAAAAAAATTGTGATGAAAGAGGGGACTTAGAAAAAAAAATTATTGACTACACAACTAAACGACAAAGAGGTGGTACTAAAGCTGTAAAACTCGCCTCTTGCCCATCGAGTGGCTTGTAGCAGCATCGGCTAGGATGGCCGCTGTTAGTACCGTTGCAAGGGATCGATCCCTGTCCCGGATGTCTTTTGCTGCCAGCCACAGCCTACTGCACGCTCGGCCTGCTTTCTCATCCTCATTTTGAGGGATGAGATAGTTGGCTTTTGATGTCCAATTCTCATCATCGACAACATCTTGGCCAACGAGGGCTGTGATGCAAAAATGATGTAGGGCATGGGTGGATGTCATTTCACATCGAATTTCCCATTCAGTAAAAGATGTCGTTTCGACATGAATTCCACCGACGAGGTGGCATCGGGGTGAGCCCGCTGTGTAACCTCAACAGTAACATTCAAGATGACTTTGGGATACACACACACACAAAATGGCACATCAACATCACTTTATTTTTTCGAACTTGATGACAATAATCCCCGGAATGATTGTATGGCTCAAGTTCATATTTGAATAGCAACTTCATCCATATCCAGGTTTGTTTTTTTTCTTCCTGTTTCTGAGCCTCTGTGAGGCACGGATCTACAATAATCAGCTTGATCGTGACCCTCCACCGCTCTGAATCCAATGATCCATCAAGAATGCTTGTCACACATAGAGTGGGATGCAGATCGAAATGGCCATCCAGACTAGCTGTCACTCAAGACCTTCTTCTGTTCCGCTTGACCATACATACCCTTTTCCCATGTTGCACAAATTGATGACTCTTATCACCGCTGCCAGATTTAACCCACAGCAAGTGAGCCGGGGCTCCCATCGGCTGATTTGCAGCTCTAAGGTCGTAGTACGTAACCTCAGCTTTCCTCATTCCAATGTCCTCTGGCCTTCTCGAAGAAGACTTTTTACCCGCAAGAGCTGGACAGTGGCAAAGTGCTGGATTTCGGTGTACATATTCATGAGCAGGCAGCAGCAACGGGGCCATGCCGCCCTCCTGCCTCATAGCACCCTATCCCTTTAACGTCCGCGTTGTGCATAACTTGGAAAGTGTTTTCATTTCTTGGGCAGTGACTTGATTGGCGTCAGTGTGATGAGGTGGTGAGACGTATTACGCTCAGGGGGATCCGATGTCACCCTCACCCTTTGCAACTCACTCATTCTGGCACCGGCGTCATTCAACCCATCACATACTTACAACATACTTACACATATTCAGAATCAAAACTCCAGCCACAAAGTGTCGAATGGTGTGACCGAGCCTGGCCGAGCAATCTATCTTGTTGGTATTTAAAGAGGCTCCAATATATTTATGTTTGTTCAACGAAAACAACCGATGTTTATGTTACAACATAGTGTACAGAGAAGCCCAGGAATTGAATCGTGCGCCGGCAGATTCCCAATGCAGCATTACAACAACAAGACCAACAAAATCGGATGATGGAAATTGAAGGCCGGCCTTGATGAGGGATCCGATATACATGATCCATCGATCGAACTGGGGCGCCCCAGCCAAGTAAGTGCCTTATACAATCCTTCAATCTTGCATAGACTCCATCGGTTCTGTCATCCCATATATTAGGTGTAGTACAGTCAGAGTGGAAGAAGCCGCATGGAAAGAATTGAACAAGTCTATCATGGCTTTTTTCGCCTCTCGTGTCGCAGCCTGCAGGTACAAGACTGGTAGTCGTGGCTTCATTCGTTGCCCTTCCCCCTCGTAGGAATCTCTGAACTTCCATGTAGTGAGCCTAAAAGGCTGTACGCTCTTTAGCAGAACTCCTGTTAGTTGCTCTTATATATTCACCCCCAGTCACTCGCCCACCGAGCTTCTTCAGCCCATCCCCCTTCCCCTGTGCTCACTGTCTGCTTCCACCCTTAATCCCCTACACTCCTTTGCATAGAAAAGAAAAAATTGCTTCGATCAAAACTTTTGATTGATTGATCTCCCTATCCACCTCTTCCCCTACTAGCTATTTTATTTCGTGCCCTTTCGGCAGGATAACTTATATTCCCCCTCCCCTCCCCCCACCCCCACCCGAAAACCCAAAAAACACAATGATTTCCTTAATCTCCACTTGCTTTCTTCTGGCCAACGCCGTTGCTTCGCTTGCCACATCCTCAGAGACCAATGTCAAGATTGTCTCGCCCGCACCCGGGGCTAGTCTCCATCTCGGTGCCTCTCTGGATGTCGTTCTCCAAATCGAAAAAGGTAGACTCCCTTCACCTTGCCAATCTTTTATTTATTTATTATCATGAGCACAATATCCCTTACTCCTATAATAATGATATATATATATATAATCCTTTCATCTGGCAGACTCCATGAAGACTTCCCAACAAGTCTTGCTCGGACTTGGGATGAACTCGGAGGACTCTCAGCACCCCACTTCGCTTGGGGAAGTCTTCCTCGGCCTGCTCAACACCACCCAGACCCCGTTCAGTGCCGAAGGCAAACTCACCTGGTCTGTGAGCATTCCTGCCCGGGAAAAAATGAACTCGACCGCAACTTCGTGAGTCATATCTATCCTGGATCAGTGTGGATCCAAAAGCCCACTCGAAGAATCCAGCGCGCTGACCCCAACCTGGCCCTTGAATCATCAGCTTTTTTCTTGTTGTTTCTCAGTACATGTTCTCTGGAGTGAGTCCATCAGCGGCTGTCCTCTGAGTGAGAGCCAGTTCCTCTCGATTATGATATTGACCTTCATATATTCCAATTAGCCATCGCACACTCCCCACTGTGGCCTAGTCAGCGTCCCGGTTAAGGTCACCGGCCCCAGCGCATCCGTCCCGGGTGTCGGAGGGAAAGCCCACGGAAGCTCGTCGACGGGCTGTGCTCCGGGCAGCAGCAGCTGTGCGACCGGCTCATCTCCCAGCTCTGAGACACCCAAAGACCCCTCCTCCAGCAAGCCGGGCTCGGCGGCTTCCCCAGCGACTATGAACATGACCTCATCGATCGACAAGCCGGCATCCGGAGAGCCGAAGGCCAACTTGACCAAGACCGAGATCAAGAAAACGATCATTGCCCAGGGCCACAACACCGGCGCAACGATCCCGGGCGCGCCCAGCAAGGACAGTCTCCCCGGCCAGCCTGCTCCCACAACCCCTTCTTCATCCACCCCCGCCTCTTCCAACACCACCTCTACCGAATCCAGCCCCGCCCAAAAGACAGGATCCGTCTCTCCTTCGGCTAAGACCAACGGAACTAACCCTCCCCCTGAGAGCGAGTCCGCTGCTGCTCATCTTGGCCTCTCCTCCGTATGACATTTCTTCTTCTTCTTCTTCTTGGTCTGTCTCTCTATTCATCACACCGTATATAGCGCTAACTTCTCTTCTTCTATAGTCCCACCTCATCGCCGCGGTCGCCGTCGTTGCTGGTACGTCTTCATTCATTCTGTATCCTCACTCTAACTCCCACTTCTCTAACGTTTTTTCCCCCCTTTTTTTGGGCTTTCATAGGTATCTTCGCGAGCGTCTAACGATCTGATTGGATTCCAGAATATATCCTTGGACGATCGGACCTCTCAGACTCCTGCTTCTCCCTTTTCCTCTCTCTTCATCATTCTCTAGAACTCCATTAATTCTCTGATCTTCTTTTTTTCCCTTTCCTTTTCTTGAATTTTTTTGGCTTTGGCTTTGCTCATCGATGTATTGGTTTGATCAACACCCACTCATTCCTTGTTGTTCCCAAAACCAACTCGATCTTTTTCCCTTTCCTATCCTTTCTTTTCTCATCTTTTTTTTTGTTTCACAAGTCTTCATATTTATCTTCTGCTTCATCTTCCTTACAGACTATATCTTCTTCTTTTTCTTCCTTGTTTCTTCTTTTGTTGAGATTGGTGGCTGGTTTATAAGTGGTCAGTTATCCGCGATTCCCTCGAAATAATAATAATACCCAAAAACAAAACAAAAAAAATGCTCTATCTTCGATCCTCTCTTGTTTCGAAAAGACTGAGTGAGAGTTTATTTCTACTTCAAAACCCGAAAACAAGTCATCTTATTCGTTCGCTTTTTGGATCTCGCTCAAAGGGAGAGAAAGTTTGAGAACTGTAGAAGAATAAAACTATTTACATTGGTAACTATGAATTGAGAACGTCTGCATCGATCATCTGGTGAACGAGGTGGACAAGTTATACATAAATAAATCCAAGTGGGACATTTGAGCAGGCATTGAGACCAAGGAGAAGAGTAAGCCAACCCTTGATCATCAAGTCCCCCATCATCATATCCTTGGACGCGGGACGCGAGTGTAAATAGTGTAAAGGGCTTTCTTTCGAATATAGAGGCAGCGACTCTGTGACCAACCACTGGTCACTCTGCCCCCAAACCCGACCAGTCCTGGTTCATAGTGACAACCGACAAACAGAGCAGCCGCGTTGAAACATTATTGTCAGTTCTTGTAGGTTCTTGTCGGTGTCACGGTCGGCGATCATTGAGATAAACGAGAAACTGTATCCAAGTTTTCAAATCTGGTGTTTGGGCCTCATACATAACAGGAAGTGACGAGCACCTGGGGTTTCTGTTGTATCGAGTCAGTCCGAACAACCGGTTCACGACGCACGTCCTAGCAGCCTAATACATCATCTTGGAAAGCTCTCTCTCTGAGGCCATGCCTCAACCAAGAGTCAAGGTGGAAAAGTCCCGGATGGCAAACTACCAAGTGAGAACACCACGAGCCCACTGGTGCACTTGCATCTATTGAAATAGCGGTGCATGGCAAACACCCTCCCCCTCCCCCCTCCCCCCAGTCATGTTATCGCCAGGCGAATCTTACTGCCAGATCCGCATCTAGTTGGGGTTGAACTTCTGACTCAAAGTCTCTTAATTAATAGTGCAGACTCTTCTCTTCTGCCATGGGCTACTCGGTCGTCTTGGCCAAAGTTCTTCATCGCAAGTGTTGGTCACCGCTATAGATCCTAAAACCTAAAATGAAGCTATAGCGAATTAGCGCATCATAAAAAATCAAAGTTGGCATGCACTGTTGTGATTGTACACAACCAACAGATTGCAAGTCTTCCTTCCAGTCCAGTCAAGCGAACTGCAGCACATACACATACATAAATATCCTATGTTCACGGCCAATCAGGGCCAATCCACCCGAGTTAAATCAAGAATTTGTTATTTATGTACGTGTAGAATTGCCCGAACAAGATTAAGCGGGATAGCGACTTATGTAAATTGAGCAAAAACTCCGAAGATTGTTGTAAGCAAGTATTTTCAGCTTTGTCTCCGACTCGCTTAATAACCGACCACAGAGAAACATATTTATGTACCGTCTGTCGCTGTCTGCAAACCATTATGCACCTCTACGAGCGCGTGTCTTTCCAAAAACCCCAGCTCATACATCAGTTCACGTTGGAACAATCATGTTGCTGACCAGCTTCGAAAAAAAAAAAACTTTGCTGCACACTTGTTCCTAAATAAATTCAACATATGTGATGAGCATCCACTGGCGCGTCAGCGACCACAAGCACATTTTCAGATCATGCATATGTACAAGCTGGAATACAAAGTCAAAGCCTCAAAGTTGAATTTCTTTCGATTGTGACGGGAAGCTGAAGCTGAAGATACAATCTGAGTTTCTTGTATTTGATTGATTCGGCCAGAGAGGAAAGGCGAAAGAGCGGAAGACTGTCCGGGCACTTCTTGATTCTCAACAGCCACGCTTACAATCTTTGGACAAAACCTCCTGCTACAGCTTGGATGAATTCACTCACAATCTGATAAATGAGGGGGTTGAATGTGTCAAAGTCGAAGAGTCAGAGGACACCTGGAACTGTTGATTGCAATCAAAGTCGATCACGTGACCAGTCTACCTGAAGCTCATCTAGAGCTGAAAAGAGGATGTAGGAAACTGAAGCTGGAGGGTGGTATTGTAAAGTATATGGGTCCTGCAATAACCTGCCGAATTTTATTTTGTCCATCAATTCGGCTTGTAGCGTGTCCACCCCGCAGGCTACAGCCTCTTTCAACCTAAATGTGGTGAAGCCGGAAGGCGGCAGGTACCTTCGACCGTAGGAGCGCTTGAACTCAGAAGAAGGAAAATAAGAAATATCGGCGCCGACATTATGGAAAAAAGGCGAATTCAACCGTCAGACGACGCGGCTTCTCCCCTCCTGGAGTCCTGCCTTAGTCCTTACCGATAGAGCTACATACAAGGTCAGAAGGAATGGCAAGTTGAGCAGAACCCAGTCTCTGACAGCATACAGATGAAAGTGTGGCCGACCAGAAGGCGGAAGATGTCAGCGAGATTGGGTGGGATCCGGGCCATGGTATGGCCGCATTTAGGGGTGATTATGGGGTTATAATGTGTTGATGGCAGCCGTACGTATTGGAGGGCCATGAGGATGCCAGCCTGGAGGGAAGTGAGGCTTTGGCCACGGATGAGCGTGTGGGCTTTGTGTGGTCTTGGCCCCATCACGCTAGCAAACACCTTCTTTTTGGTGTCCACCCAAATCATAGCAATCTTGATGCAGATCTGACTCTTCATCGTATCTTGACTCGGTCATTGCCCCGAAAGCACCGGTGCCCGAAAGTGAGTTTTTTGCATGAATGATCACATTTGCAAGCCAATGTACATATTTACCTATTTACATAGAATCAGTTTGGGGGAACAAGCGACTTCAAAAGAGTCATCGTATGGTACATAGTGTTGTTGATACCTACAGCAC